TATAGGGACTGGCTGTGGGCAGGAGTAGAGCCTCTATTTCACTCAGATGGTGTTATGAACAGAATGTTTGTGTCTCCCCAAAATTTGTATATTGAACCCCTAACCCCTTGTGTGGCTATACTTTGAGATGGGGTCTGTAAGGAGGCAATTAAGGTCAAATGAGGTCATAAAAGGGGGGGCCTTGACTTGATAGGATTAATGTCCTTCTAAGAAGAGACAACAAATGCTCAGTGTTTATCTCTCTGCACCCACCCAGAGGAAAGGCCATGTGAGGACAAAGCAGCTATCTGCAAGCCCGGAGTCGGGCTCTCACCAGAACCCTACCACACTGGCCTTTGATCTCAGACTTCCAGTATCCAAAAATGTGAGAAATATATGCCTATTGTTTCAGCCCCCTAGTCTGCAGTGTTTTGTTATGGCAGCTCAAGCTGACTGAGAAAGATACGAAAGAAAAGGACAGTAGGGTATAATTTATGCACACCTATAAGATATTGGTCAGAGGAAGTTCGTCCATGTAGTCTTGACTCTCAGAAAATGGGAGACAAACCAGTGTGGTGCAAATGAAAATGGAGGTGGTAAGGTTAGGAATTTGAAGAGGCACATAGACATCAGGGAGATCCTCTGAGAGCCAGGGGAGAGGGAAATGATGTTGGACACGTGGGGATTCTGAAGAGGACTGTGGAAAATTCAGGGATCCTGGCAGCACAATGGGATGGGACCACAGGAGACAATCAACCAAGGATGTCCCCTCTGCAAATGCCCCTTGGAATCTTTCAGACACAGAATGATGAGGCTGGGTGGGCCCCAGAATATTCTTATTCTCTTAAATCCACATGAATGTTGAGCAGTCCTCTGCTTGTAATGTAAGTAAGTAGATAGGATCTAAGTGTTAGGGGTTTTACCTTGGGCTACAAGCTGTCCCAGAGCCTGAGTGAAGGTCAGTGGTGAGAAACCTCAGCTTACTAAGGGCAAGGAAGCAGGGACCAAATCAAGGATCACTGGAGGGGGCTGATCTGAATGTTAAGTCTGGCCTTTCAACAGGAGTGCCAAGAAGAGAGCTATGTCCTCCTTTGACATGGGAGGTAACAATGGGGTGGGGATAATGGGGACAAGGAGGAGGGACAGGAGCTCAATGGGAATGGCAAAAAGGTGATGCTAAAGCCGAGAGGACTCCACGAAGCAGTCTGGGAAGTGCATCTACCTTCATTTTGTTTGCTTTTGTAACCCCAAGCTCCTCTCTGTCTCCTTCAGTAAAATGCTGTGTGTACTTCAGTGTTTGTTTTATATTTTATAAAGCACTTAGATTAAACTGAATTTAATGTCATTTTGAGGCTTGGGAGAGAATATTACAATAGCACCTTGGGCACCAGAAACCAGAGCAGGCCTCTCTATAGGAGCAGATGCATATGCTGGTTTAGAACACCTGGGTTTCAGTCCTCACACCACCACATCCAGCTGAGTGACCCAAGCAAATGGCTTCAGTGTCTTCATCTGCACTGGCCTGGAGGTGCTGAGTGTTGAGAGAATTAAATCAGGTGCTGCCAGGAATGACTTAGCATACTGTCTAGTGTGAAATAAGCACTCAATAAGGAAAGTCTTTATCATCATCATCATTCACATTAATTTAGGGATAGTAAAAATTTTAAAAGGAATCCACAATACTTCCTCAGAAAATCAGAAGGTTATTTTTGGGTATACAAAAATCCCACTGACCCTCTGAAAAGTTATCAATATCCAGCTCCTCAAGTGGCCTTTGCAGGCTTTCCTAAAATTCTGCTCATGGAGCCAGTCAGTCCCCAGATCCAGAGGCACTACAGGAAGAGGCAGGCACCACCATGTGCTGGAGGCTTCTATGTGCCAGACCCTATATGTGGAGTTTTTATGTTTCTGAGCTGTCAAGTGAGGAGTGATAGATAGAGGAGGGGGGAAAGTGGGAAGGGAAGATGTAAAAGGATCAAGGAAGCCATTGCCTGCAAAAGTCGTTTTATCTGGTTTGGAAATGGATTTCATGAGGTACACCTGCTTCTGTCCTCCAACTCAGATTCCCTGTCACCAACCTCACTTCCTTGAGTCCAACATGCAATTAACACCTATTATTAGCCCTATTAATGCATCTCCCCAAAAACATGACAACCTTTAAGGCAATGGTTCTCAACCAGGGATAATTTTGCCCTCCCTGCCACCCAGAGGACATTTGGAAATGTATGAAGACATTTGTGTTGACACAACTTGGAAATATGTTTCTCCTGGGTAGAGGCCAGGAATGCTACCAGACACCATATAATGCACAGGACACACAACAAAGAATAATCCAGTCCCCTTTCTCCACCCTGTTCCCATTATCCCCAACCCATTAGTTCAACCCATGCCAAGGGAGGATATAGCTCTCTTCCTGGCAACCCTTGTTGAAAGCCCAGACTTAAGATCCAAGATTATAGTTTCAAAGTTAAGAAACAGTGATTGAGAAAAAAGTAGTCCCACACACCCCACTTAACTCACTGTGATTATCAAGTTGGCAGTTTGCCAGATGTCCTGGATTAAACAGCCCTACCTTGAATGATTAATTTTCCTTTGCTTGACACATTTTGTAAGTAATGATCGCTTCCAAGATGTTATTCTTCATTGCTTGTTGCTATATGAAACTACCACAGTTTAAGACAATCCCTATAGACGTCATCATCATTTCTTTCATTCATTCATTTACTCACTCATTCATTCATTCAACACATGATCATTGAGCTCTCTCTTACACCATATGGGGGAAGAGGGGAGGATGGAAGTGCTGGTGACTAATTACAACACTGTCCCAGGTGAAATTCCTCATGACATAAACACATTGGAGTGGAGTTAGTAAAGGAAAGTGTGGTCAGGGTTTCCTTTAGCAATCTCAGAACACTGTCCCCATCATCACTTTTTGGTTTCCACTTTCAAGGTTCCCTCCTGGTACCTCCTCCCTGTCTGGAAAGGAAAGGGAGGAAGGGGTAGTGACAAGCAATTTGGCCTTAATAACCTCCCGTGAGGACGGTGCCTATGTTCTTATTCAAGGAGAGACCCAAATGAATAAAACAACTGTTTGAATATCCTTAAATTTCAAAATCAAATGTCTGACCATTCAGTCACACAGAAGGAAAATGGGGTTTCATAGGGAATGGCAAAACGTGAATCAAAGTAGACCAATTCCACTCCTATTTGTTAAAGGAGCTCTCTGCCAAGAAGTATGAGTCTTTAAGTCAGGATAAGCCTATAAAATAATCGGAGGACCAAGACTTACAGGAAACTATCTGGTAATACAATAGAAGGCAGTACCAGTGAATGCATGAAAATTACATATAAGGACAAGGGATGTAATTGGCAGAACACTGGGTAGTTGGAAATCAAGAGATCTGGGTTGTAGTCCCAGCTTTACCACTAACTTGCAGATTTGGGGCAGGTCCCTTCTCTCTGTAGTCTCCAGTTTGTTCATCTGTAAAATGAGGGAACCAGATCATAATGTAGCATCCTTCCAAGGTACACTGAGACAAGTGAAGGCTCTCTTTTCCCCCTCTGCTTATTCTTGGATAACATGGGGGTCCCTTTGAGACAAAAATGTAGGTTGAACCTCCAACCTCTTGATTTTTTCAGACAACTTCAGGAGTACTGCAGATACTTGAGAAGTCATGAAGAGGAAACTATTGCCTCTCCCATCCCCAGGCACTGAATATCAGCATCCCTCTAGGTTACATTTGGCTTTGAATTGTCCCCAGTTCCCCAGGTGGCTTTTCCCCAAATTGGGAGTTCAAACTAATGAGTGGGTGCTGTTGCTCTAGCACCTTCCAACACCAACATTGAGAAGAGGCTCGAATGTTATCAAGGAGGTGGGAATAAGATCCCCAAATTCCACTCTTTCCAAACTACTGTTGCCGGAATGTCATGGACCTGCTGGGATGATGGGCATCTACTGCTTGTTAACACTCCCATCAGCTCTAAGAGCTGAGGTTTGTCTTATGATCAAACAGAGGAGGACTATAGGAGGGTAAGGTTACTGGACACCAAGAAGGACTCGCCCAGGACAGAGATTGAAGACTCAAAATTGGGTCCCCAAGTGCTTTCCCTGGGGTATTTCTTAAGACAGAGGTCTTGGTGGCCTGTCTGGAATGTTAGTGAAAAGCAGTATGGTAGTTATGGAATCTGTACCCCTCACTCCCCACCCTTACTGCCTCCCTATTCCTTCCATTCAGCCCATCTGGGCGCAGCCACTCCCTCCCTCACAAATCCCACAGGGAGAAGCCTGTGATTCCCAGGAGTTTCTGTGGGAAAGAAATCTCAGCTACAGACTCTGCTGCCTTCTCTTTTCTTTTCCAGCTCCTCCCTGGACCTGGTTTGTGGAAACCAACTGCTCCCAGGAGTCCTCAGGCATGCAGACATTAGGGAGCGGAATCCCACAAGAGAGAGGGGGCAGGGAGCTACAAACGGTCCCATCCCAAATCTGAAAGCTGCGGGCGGACTTTCTGAGGTTTTCCTATGCGCAGCCCGGTTGTGTAAAAATGTCAAGGCTCTGGGCAGATGAATGTGGGTTCCAACTTTCTTCTCTTGGGGGCAATATTTTTTTGTCTTTCCAATTCTCAACTTTCTTGTCGGTAAAGTGAGGGTGATAATATCAACCTCGTAAGGAGGTTATGAGGCTTCAGTAAAATAATGGGAGCAAAGTGCCCTGCTCACAGCAGGCACCTCCAGGGACAGCTCCAGAATTTCTGCCTAGGTATGTCTTAGAGGCTCAGTCCAGGGGTCCACAGAAAGGGTGGGGTGGAGCACAGGGGTTCGTTTGAGAGCTGCCTTCGGGCGCACATGTGTTATTTGAGGGTAGGGGGCCCTCTGGATTGAAGTTGATAGAGATTATTGATGAGGAGAACGGAATTAAGGTTTTTCACACCTTAGTGGAAGACATGGAGGTGTTCCCCACTATCCCAATCACGCCTGGACCCGAAGGAGGGTCCCTGCCCGCGGAGGGGCGCGGTACTCACAGTGTGCGCAGCGCCGGTAAGCAGCAGCAACAGCCACAGCGACAGCGGCGGCGGGCGGGGGTTCATGGTGCCCGGTGCTCTCCCTGCGCGCTCCCCGACGGCCTCTCACCTGAACACACCGCCCACTCCGGAGCTCAGGGCCCCCCGCAGAGTCCGGGGCCCCAGCTGGCCGCAGCGCTCGGAGGAGCCATGGCTGGTCTACACAACCCACGACGGTCCCCGGACTACACCTTCTTGGACTAGGTGGCCGCGCTCATTGATGAGGACGAGGTGCTGTCTGCACTTCTCCACCCAGCTTGACTGGCCGGGAGCAGGCCTGATGGTTGGCTGACAACGGAGGAGGCGGAGTGAGGGTGTGGGGACCTGGAGCTGGCTCACGCAGGCTTGGCAGGGTAAGGGGGGGGGGGGCGGGGGGGGGAGCGGAGGGGCGGGGCGGGCGGAGGGGACCCGGAGAGGGCTTAGCCCTTGAGGCTACAGCACCCTCAATTACGTAAAAGAGCACTCAGCTCTGCCATAACCTTGCTGCGCTTAGACGGGCAACCTGTGCCACCTTTTTGAACCTCATGCCTAGTGACACAATAATACCCACCCTCGGGATGAAAGAAGGTTTTGCTAGTTCCTGTGCAACAGCAGGTGCCCGGTCAATGCCTGTTGCATCTAGTCAGTGGAGCAGGTTTTCACTTTATTTTTCTTCACTGTTAAAGTTATACTGGCTCACTCTGGAAAGTTTCACTACGATGAATACCATCACCCAAGAAAGCCTTTGATGATGAAGACCATCTGGTCCACCTGGGCATTTGGGGCTGTGCTGAAGATGGGAGACTTCGTATTTCCTGGTCTCCCTGGAGGCTATTTAAACATCAGGCAGATATTCCCAGTAGCCTGCTCAACCCGAGTCTCCAGTGCACAGATGTTCTGGAGGCTGGCCTTGTGCTGCTCAGTAGAAGATACCCTCAAATGGCTCTTGTGCACTCAATTTTACCTCCTCTGTAGTGGTACCCACTCCCTTTCCTCTCATCTCTCTATCTTGACCTTTCCTGGGGCACTTTAAATACATCAGCTTATTGAATCCCGACCCCCCAAACCCGGGGGTGATATTATACTGGTTTGACAGAGGAGAGCAGAGACTGGAGGAGGATCAATGGATGTTCAGGTACATGAAACTCAGAAGGTCAGATGGGAGAGCCTGGAACTGTACTTCAGTGACTGATCTGATTCTCTGTGACTGACCTCTAGTCAGATTGCTGAACCACTATTAACGTAGATGCTGTGGCCCTCAGCAGCCTTCCTACATGAAGAGGCGATTTATAAGGTGAGGTTGGTAAACCACAGCAGATAGAAAAGGTGAGAAAATAATTTAAGCTTCCTGGTCCACAGTCAAGACTCAGTTAATGTGAATCTAAAGTTTACATAACCAAAAATTCACTTTTAGGAACTTTCATTATAGAAATACTCACCCAAGAGCCCACTTAAAATTGCACAAGGATGTTTATGGAAGCACCATCACAGGAACAGAAAACAGGGTATAATGTTATGTGAAAAGGGAACACTTAGTCTTACCCTTGAAGTTTTCTTCCTTATGGAGAACAACCATGAGAATAATCCTCCCCACCTATCTAGCAATCTCATTAATGTCCCTCCTCCCAACATAAACACACACACACACACACACACACGACCAGCTTTACATGACTAATGCATTTGGGATAAGGACTGGCATGAGATTGTGGCATAAGCCAGGCTTTCCTTGGTGGCCAAGGCTCTGACTGTGTTGGTCCAGTAACACCAGTGGCAGGGTGGTGGTCTATCTAATTGTGGGATTTGCTACTAGAAAAGCTACTCACCCACAAGTATAAACCGCATTCTCCAAGACCAACATCATCACTAATAAAAGTGATCGTTGCCCTGTCTGTCTTCATCGTATTTCTCAATTGGTTTGAGATTTAGACTGGAAACAAATGTTACATGCTGGGCCCCACTTAAACTCCAACATCCTAAATGTGCACCAGAAAGTGCATGTGGTAAAGACTTGCAATTTTTACTGTATAGACTTCTCTGTTGCTTGAATATTTTCTGTAGCCACTATACGTATTGTGGGGTTTGGGGTTTTTTGATGGAAAGAAATAAGAAAACAATATAAAAATGCAATTTGTGTTCTATACCAGAACCTCATGATCTTAACTGAAGAAGCAAAACATTTGTTTTGGGCAATTTAATCAATTTCTGGCCTGTGGCAAGCCATTCATTCTTCCTTAAATGGGAGACTGCCTCTCAGAGCATGAAAAAAGGTCTGAAGTGCTCTGTGAGAATCCCTTTTAGAAGCCTTGGATGCAACAGTGGCTTTGTAAACCCCACCTGAGAGAACAGTTTCATAACAGATGTGAGGGAAAGAGGTAGGGAGCTAACAACATATTTAATAACCTGTCATGTGTGAGGGAGACTTGTAGGGCGTATTGTCATGTCAAATCTTCCAAGACTACAAAAGAGAAAATTCCTTTCCTTGATTTATAGGATGAAAACTTGAGGCTTGGGAAAGATAAGCACTTGCCCCCAACAATACAGCTAAAAGGGGGTGGGGCCAAGATTTGAACCCAGGATGTGGTCCAAAGCCCATGCCCTTTGCACTGTACTAGGATTCCTTTCAATCACAAAGATGACTTCCTTAACCCTAGGGCTTCTGTAGCTCTTTTGCACACATCATCTCATTTGATTCTCAAAACAAATCTGTGGGTTAGGTAGGACTACCAGTCAGTGGGTGACAGAGGAGGTTGCAACCATTGCTCACATGGTTTAATTGAAAGGAGTTTAATAACAGGACTGTGTGCAGAGGTGTGGCAGGGTTAAGAGAACCAACAAGAGAGAATGAGGAGCCAGGGATTAGTGTCAATGGGTGTGAAGAGTGACAAAAATGCCCTCTTGACCAAACTTTACTCAGGCTCCTCTGAGTCTTCTTCTTGGCCCTGTCTGTCTTCAGCCTGCCTAGTGCAGTCTCAGCAAGAATCCTGCCATCAGTTTTGTAAGAATCCACCCTCCCCCTACTTTTGATATCTGATCACCCTTCATGTCTGATCAAGCTCACCATCCCTCACCTTTGATGTCTAAATCCTGTCAGTTTAGCAAGAATCCACCTATCCTTGATGTGTCCTGTTAGTCATCTTCCTTCCACTGACCCCTTTACCTGATTCTTATCTTTAAATCCCCACTCATCCTTTTTTTGTATTCCAAGTTGAGTTAAATCTTCCTCCTCTATTGTAACTGTCTTGAATAAAGTCTTCCTTTATTAAATTATGGGATGAAATCTTAGCATTTTAACAAGTGTCAGAAAAATGTTTTCTTTAATAAACAACAGGGAGAGAAAGCAGTTTCCCAGAAAATGGCAAGAGCTCCCCTTGGGAAGGAAGCCACCCATATGAACTTAACTATAGAGGAATGCAGCCACAGTCAAAACCATGGCCTGGCATTGGCATCAGGTAGTGGGATACGTGCTTTGACCTCTCTCTTCTCCTATCCACTGGTCTCTTGGCATTGTCTTCCATTGGTTGAACCAACCCAAAGCCAGAGACAAAGCAGACATATAGGGAGTGAAGGGGCAGGGAGAAACTATCCATACAGTTTAATCTCCTGGGTGGAGAAGTTTGAAACTGGATTTGGAAGGGAAGAAGCAAAAGGAGAATAAACCCTCTTGGAAACATCATTAAGCCATTTAAAACAGAAAGAAACAGATCTGATGAGGCTATTACTCAAGATTACACAGCTAAAAGGTAGGATTACTGGTACTGAGACTCTGGTCTTTTGATTCACAGCCCTAAATTGTTTCCATCACTCTTAAACCCATTATTCCAAAATCTAGCAATGAAAACCCAGTGATTACTTATTATCATTTCACAGTTCTGGGCTCAGTTCAGGTAGTTCTCATTTGCGGTCTCTCACATGGTCACATAAGTAGTGTCTGGGACCAGAGACACCCCAAGATATGGTCACCTAAGTATCTGGGACTAGGCAGGAAGACTCACGTGTCTGGGGCTGGAGCAGCTAGGGGCTGTCGGCCGTCTCCCCCCATGTCTTCCCCTATCCCTTTGTTACAGCCCCTCCGCAACACCCACCCATGCCATTGAACCTAGGAGGTAAGAGGGGAAAAGATTTTTTTCTCCTTTATAATACAAATCCCCTTAAAAATTAAATTTAAAATTTCTTCTGGTGCCAAAAGGGAAAGAGATCTTTTCTCCTCTCCCTTTTCTTTAGCATTTTCTTTGGAAAACTGACCATTAGAAATCTTTTCCCTTTCTTTTGGAATATGAATAATAAAATCTTTTTAAAAGCTAATTAAGCCTCTAGCCAGTTTTACATCTCAGGAATGTCTTTCTTGAAGGCCTTGTTATCTCTTTGAAATGTGAATATCAAGGAAGACAGTTCTCTGTCTCCCTGTCACTATGGGAGTTTAGTCCAGGCCCTTGGCTCCAAGTTGTAATTCCCCCTTGCAGAAAAGCTATGACAAGTTATTTGTTTGTTTGTTTGTTTCTTCTTTAGATAAAGATGATTGCCCAACAATAAACACTGTTGGGAAACTAATTAAGCACATCCATTCAATGAATATTTATGGAGTACCTAGTCTGACCCAGGTGCCCTGTGCCAGAATGATAGCAGCCTGTGGAAATTGCCCTTGGTAACCTCAGGCTCATGAACAAAGCTAGAAGTGCTATGACTGTGCCCTCTCCCAGAAGGCCTGGAAAGATGACTGAAGCTGATAGTCAAAACTTCAGAGGCTTTCATGACCACACATTTAACAAACCTATCAGATGGATGGAGTAGCAACTACAAAATGTACGGTGGATGATATTGCAAACTGATAAATTCTATGGGAGCATATTCTAAGGGACCAGGCCAGACCTGATGGGTTATTGTCTTAGGTTGGGTCTTATCAGTCACCATTTTCGTAGGTAAAATACATTTGAATATTGACAGTTTTATAAGGTGCAACCTAACAGACAGATGTCTGTTGTTTGTGTCAGGCCAGACTTTATTCCTTTTTCTTCTGATACAAGACCCCTTTTCCTTCCCCCACTTTCAGACCACATACCTTGGGTAGGGCTTTCACCAACAGCAGACCAGGAGTGAGCACGTGACCCAGACCTGGAGGAGTGACCCCCACCAACTAACCAACAGTGACTGGTTCAGAAAGGGTCATGAGTCAAGTTGGGCCAATAGGAATGGCACAACATGATAGGCTTTCCACAACATGAAGAGATTCTGGTTGAGAATGAAGCTGACACTGAGTGGAGGGAACC